TTAGTGCCTGTAAAACATGTTATATTCTTTATGAGTCTGGCATCTGGATAAAATTATCATCTCAGTTTCACAAATCATCGCTGCAGGCATACTATTAATCTAGACATTAAATCTCTCCCTGCTTCCTTTTTCAGATATGTTCACTTAGGTCTATTAGTTCTTATAGTTGAGAGTCTTGCTTCAAATTATTCAAAATATTTCAGTTAACAGAAATCACATGGTTAATCCAAATTATTAAGAGAAACAACTTCAGTTAAAGAACTGAGGAGGAAGAATAATGGTTGTTTATAAGAAAGTCTGAGAATCAGCCAGCCTTTCCTCAGGAACATGATAAACAACCATATGCAGGAAGTGCAAGGACTGGTCCTATGCATTATGGCACACATTAGCTTCTTTAGGCCTGCTTTCTATTCCAGTTATGAACACTGTGTAAGACACAATAACCCCAGGCACACACATATCTAAACACACGTACACACAACCAAGTTTCCTGGACTAAAAGTAAGTTGGGGTTTAACTGAATTTTCACCCTTGAAAACTAAAGCAGTGTAAACTTCCAAAAAATTCAGGTGAGTGAAAAGATGGTGGAAATAAAATCAATAAGTGTGCCACTGATTACAGGAAAGTTGGCTTGGAAGTAAAATATAAATAATCAAAGGTTTGAAACTATTATATTATTTTAAGATGACTCTAACTCAAAAATCAGAGATCCACCCATTCATACACTACGAAATCTCATAAAGACACTGAACTGGAATCCAAAATATACTCACAAAAGATCAAAAGAGGAAATAAAAGTTATACATGTATATATTATATATCAATAAAATATAATATTTATTGATAAAATAAAATAAATAAATGAGATAAACTAAAAAAATTTAAAAAAAAAAACAAGAGTTCCCTGACTCAATGTTATAAGACAAGGAACCTTCAAAGATGCCTTTGAGTTCACCTTCTTTTGACTTCTTTTGACCATTTATTGCTGGACATGAAGTCTACCCTTAAGAGTAGTTTGTTTCCATAGTGGGACTTCATTGGAAAAAACTAAAATTTTCATTTGCAAATTAACCTTATTCTTAATGTTCCTCAAACAGACCTATTCCCAACATTAGGTCTATTTCTAATGAATAAAATTTATCTTATTTTAGATAATTTACTACTCATGTGCTTAATCATTACTTTTAAGGAAATTTAGTGCAATAATACAGAACTTCTCTATTATCCACATTTAAAACCAAGAGATAGTTTTCTTTATTATTTTTTCCTTTGTAAGTCTAAGATGCAGCATTTCAAGTTCATGTGTAATCTATAAATAAGTGTTGATGATTACTATCACAAATATCCAAGCTTCATTGTTAAGTCACCATTTAAATTTTAAATTAACTTCTCACTTAACATATAATCACAGAGTGCTTCCAGAAGCAGCAAGGCTAAATTAAAATCTACTCTTTAATGTGATAATTTTTCCAGTTCATTTCCATATTTTAACTGCTCCTAATATATTTTATTTTATAAACTCTCCTCTTGCCATAGAAATAACTCTTTTCCTGCCATACTTAACTATTTCTACAATAACATAGAAAAGCAGTACTGCATCAATATTTTATATTCTTCTGGTTTGACCTTGGTTGGAAAAATATGTACGATAAATCATTAGAAATCTCTATAGACTTAATTTTAAAAACAGTTAGTTAATTAACACTATGTTTTAAAGGTTTTGACCATATCTTCTTGCACAATATTTTTCTGTCCTCTAAGAAGAATATCAGTACTGTAGTTCATATATCTCTATATTTTTTAATATTTGGAATAATAATTTCAAAGGACATTTAAAATCTACTGCCTAGTATTATTGTTACAAAATACACTCATTTTTATTCATCTTTCAGAAAAATGTGGAGATCATTGCTGCTAATACAATAGGTGACATACAAGAGAGTTACACCAGTGTTTAAATGATGTGACCTTCAGTTATTATTTGCATGCTATTAGAAATTAATATTGTCATGAGGCAGTGTTTCATTACGTGTTAATACAAATGAAATAACACTCTTAGAAGATTCTAGCCACATTTAATAGAAGAGTTCTAGGTTTAGAACACTTAGTTTTTGATATAATAATTATAAATGCCAATATGAATGGTGAAGGTTTTTCTTCCCAATTTTTTTCCTTGGTTTTTCAGGGCAGGCTTTATCTAAGTAGCTTTGGTTCATGCCCTTCCTGGATCTAGCTCCTGTAGACTAGGCTGGCCTTGAACTAGAAGATTTGCTTGCCTCTGCTTCCCAAGTGCTAAATTAAAGTCATGCACTACCACCACCTAATTTTTTCTTCCCATTCTTATGTGATACCATAATTCATCTATCATACATTTGACAAACTCAAGATATTTTCCAAGACAATATTTCTTTTAATTTTGAAATAGAACAGCTGACAGAAATAATAACTTGTATTTGGATTGAAGACCACACATTAAGTTTTCCTTAAGTTTATTTGAAAAGAGCCAAAGCAAAAGAATAAAATAGAAATTAAAAAGAAGTAAATAATATGTGTAAGAGAATTGTTGCCATTTATTTGACAACATGCCAAAGGCAAAATATATATAACAAAACACACAAAAAGCACAAAAATATACCTTAAGTTTTAAAGAAGTATGAGTATCAAGTTACCCAGCATATTATCAGAAAAATTTATTCAGAAAATAACTCCTAAAGTAGAGTACTCATTTATTACTTTTCTCGTCTTTTCTGTAGGCATGTAGCATAACTTTTCATGTGAACACTTAAATATTCAAAGCAATAGAATTTAAGTCTGGTAATGGCAACACACACTTTTAATCCCAGCACTCAGAAGGCATGGGCAATAATCTCTGTGAGTTCCAGGCAAACATGAACTACAGGAGTTCCAGGTCAGCTGGATTGAGAAAGACATCCATAGGTTTTTAGATTTGAATGTTTTGTCCACAATTAGCAGAACTTCTTGGGAAAGATTTTTTGTGTGGTCTTGTTGAAATAGTTACAGTGTTGCTGGAGGAAGAGTTTCTCAAGGGGTAGAGTTTGAGATTTCAAAAGCCCATGATAGGCCCATTCTCTCTCTCTCTCTCTCTCTCTCTCTCTCTCTCTCTCTCTCTCTCTCT